GGCTAATCCAGGGCAGCGAACACAAAGCAGACGTGTTTTCCATAAGCGCAGGACACCATGCGAAAGACACTTGAAGGTAAAAACATGTTCAATAGGCTATGTCCTGCCAAACAGATAGAGTTACCTTGTTATTTATTGGGTTAATGTTCTTTCAAAGTGGATTTAACTAAACTAATGCTTTTTTTCCCTTGAGCACCATCTTGCACTAGAACGCTGCCTGGTCGCAGCAGTGGCCTTCAGCAGTTTGTCTCCTTGTGACACTACTACAATTAAATTTTTAGTGTGGTTCGGATTAAATTTATTTGCAGCTTCTATTAAAAAGGAATACAGAACCGATTCTCTGATCTAGTTAGCAGTGCCCCTGCTCCCTGCAGGGGGGTTGGACTGGATGGGCTCTAGGGGTCCTTTCCAACCCAAACCATTCTGTGATTCTGTGATTCTATGATTCTGCTATGCCCAGGTTTGGGAAGGGGAAGGTGTCTTTTCTCAGATTGCAGAGCAGCAGATCTGCTGAAATCCACTGCCTCTGACGTGCCACAGAAATAAGGCTCGGGCACCCCGCGTTCCAGTCGGTAACGTGCATTTCATGTGCGACGCTACCGCCCTGGCCAACACACTCCTCACTGTAAAGGGGCGCTACAAGAAGTAGGAAGGCGCTACGCTACCTGAAGTAACACTTCCCTGAGCTTTAACTTCTTAAAGTTTTTCACAAGCTATTTTCTTATAAGCTGAAATTTTATAAAGTTATTAATACAAACAGTATTCTGACTCAATCTTTAAAAACGACGGAGCGCTTTGAATTTCTAGCATGCTCGTACGGGTTGGGCTTATTTTGTTTGGGTTTGTATTGTTGGTGTATACTAATTTACATATAAATTGTTATCCATGTGGAAAGAGAGGGAAGCACGGCGTGGTGCTTTCATGTACCGCCTTCAGTCATGAGAGATGCAGTTTACATGCTGTGCCTTAAAAACCTCCCTCCTGCCCAGGGAGGAAATAGGTCGAGCCCGTCCTCAGTTGTTTTTCATCAGCAGCCTCCGTCGGTTGGTCTGCGCCGGGAGAAGGAAGGAGGCGCGCGGGAGAAACTCAATGAGGTGACAGATGAAGCCGGCAATTGCTTAGGGTGGTGTGTAGGTGGATCTGCCTGTGACCCAGCCGTGGCTGGAAGGAAGCTAATCAGTTCATTTGCTATTCAGTATTGCCAGCAGGAGGGGTTCTTATAGGGAACAAAGATAATTTGTCCTTTACTTGATGCTCATTTTGATTGTTAAGAAAATGTGTATATGCAGTAGAATGGGAAGCATCACGCTGCTTGGTGGTGACCCCAGCTGAAAGCAATATACCTTCAGTCTCCCCAAAGGGATGCCTCGGCAAGGAAGTTCTAATATTTTTCCTAAAATATTTATTGTGAATACAACAGATTCACAGTCGGAGAGTGAGGCTTCTCCTGTGAAACGGCCACGGCTACTGGATGACAGTAATGACAGGCCTGAAGAAACCAGTCGATCCAAACAGAAGAGTAGACGCCGGTGCTTCCAATGCCAAACAAAACTGGAGCTAGTACAGCAGGAACTGGGATCGTGTCGCTGTGGTGAGTACTGCCTGTCAGTAGCGTCCGGCTTTCTAACCCAGCCGTGCTCGGATCCGTATCAGAGGTGGAAATCCAGGGAACGCTTGCGTTTTGTATCTTTCAAAGATACTTTAAACAGAAGCTGTTGCTTCCACTGGTAGCAAAAAGTTATAATTGGTTCCTGTCTAATTTCCCATCTAAAACTTGGGCCTCGATGTAGTGCCTTGTCTCAGGAGATGGCAGATGTTAATGAATTTAGCTTCAGAAGTCCCGGTAAGGCAGGAGAGCGTCAGACCCACTTGACAGGCGAAGAAACGCAAAGCACATCAGTAAATACGCAAAGGTGACAAGGCTTTCAGAGAGCTTAGAGGGACATAGGTCAGCACTTACATTCTGCATTTTATAATTACATTATTATTATTAAAAAGTTATGAAAATGTTTTCATCCCCACAGTTAGCTTTAGGGGGCGGGGGGAAGACTTGTTCACCGTACACTTAAAATCATCCAACCTGGCACTTCCGCAGCTGACGGCACTGTTCAGCTAATTGAATCGAGGCTGATACTCTCATGCAGACAGCTAATTTGGGGCTTCATATTACATGCAAATGATCTTTCTGAGATAATAATTAATGTGACTGGATTCCAGAGGAGAGGCTCTCTCCTTCATGGAACAGTTGTGTTCATAACTGGTTTAAATGTATTCATCGGACCCAGTGATAATGCACATGGTAGTTTTACCTGCTAATTATTTTTTCATTTAATCGTGTATTGAAAGCTTACACTTGCCCTCTCTGACCATGCTTGTGTTGATACATTTGGAGAAGTTGGTTTAGTTACTTCATCGTGTCTCAGCAGGGGGGTAATTTCCAAAGGATTTGCATGGATGATAGGTGCAATTCACATTGCTCCTGTGAAACGTAGGCCGTTGAAATAAAATGTTTTCTGGATAGAAGGCATGGCCTCCTGGGCAGCGGTGGGGAGAGAAAGGATTGGCTAAGCTAGTTAGAAGGACCCGGTTAATGAATTCTATATTGAATACCTAATATCAAGTGAAGAGAAGCGAGAGAAAGCTGCAGAGACTCCATGTTATCCTTTGTCTTCTTCAGCATCTGTCTTTAACCTTTAGAGATTGCTCTTGTGTTGTGCTCTTCTGGACACGGGACAGGCTTTGTTTCAGATATCGGAGCACTGCCATGCAACTAACGTACGTTCTCTGTGAAGCCACCAAACGTGAAATCAAAAGCTGTAATGTTGAAATTCTTTCTATGGAAATCACGTGCCTGGATACTGTGGCGTATCCAGTAAGATTTTTATCAAACTGAAGAAACTCGGCGCTAGCAATGACACAGTTTGGTGTGGCTCTTTCTGTTCAGCCTGGTAGAGGCAGGAGTTTCTGCTCGTGGTCAGATGACTGAGGCTGCTCACGGGCACCTGACTGAAATAGAAGAATCCTCCCTAATATTGGGAGCAAGAGAGTTTTAGAAGTTTGGGGAGGATTGGAGAAAAGATGACTTAGCGATGATGTTAGATCAATCATCTTCCCTGCATTCTGCAAAGCTGGAGCTATGTAAGAGCAATGAAGTCGAAAGGAACTTTTTAAAAGTCCTTCCATTGATCAGTAATGTTTTTAAAATTATAAAATAGGGCCTGCCTTTTTTGTTTTTGTTTTTTTTTTTGTAAACTGGGTAACATGCAGCTAGTTGGTTCCTCTCAAGTTTTCTTGAAGTAGTTCCATAAGTCAACATTGTTGCAATATAAACTTTGTAGGAATTATTCTTTAAATTGTTTGTACTAGATAGATACAGCTTTATGGAAATACATCTGTTGAAGTTCATAAAATATGTTAATAAAACATGAACACGAAACAAAAAATTCCGAGTTCCTCAGGAGTAAGTGAGGAAATGAAAATTTGCATTCCTACGTTACATATTACATCCTATATAGTTTAAAGGATGTATAATAAACATTTATATTCCACACAGCGGGAGGCAGGAGTCTGTTTCCATGTTACAACACGGCTGAGAAGGCTGGAGACCTTTGGTTTATCTGTGCAACGATAACGTTTCATTACACGGTGTTCAGTGCATGTGTTATCTATCGTGGAACGCCATGTGGTGTGAAAGTAGGCACACCCTGCACTGCTTCCTTAAATAGTAACGCTAATAAGAAGCAAACCAACCCCTACCACTGAGCAACACGGGTCATCTCAGCTTCACCTCACCTAAACTACTTTACCAATACTTACCAGCATGTAGCTTTTGTCTTTTGTAAAGAAGCCGCCTTAGAAACCATTCTCGCTAACTTTTGCCCCACTAGCTGCAAAATCAGGTTGCTTTAGGTCATGAATAACAAGCCAGATCAAAAAGCCTGGGGAAGGGGTGGTGGGAGATGCGACAGAATAAATGCACTTAAAACGTTTTCTAAATCCATACGTGATCAGGTTCTAGTCACCATGTGAAGCACAGGTAATGCTGCGCGCTTCACTGGAAGTGTTGGAAATACATCAGCTGGTGTAAAATAAGCGTGTACGTTCTCCAAGAGTAATGGTCAAGGTAGAACATTGTTTGAGCTGGGCTTTGGACCACTGCTATTAAACTCTTGGCATCTTAATCCTGAACAGAAGCAATGGGAAAAAATGTGGAAAAGACCTTAACTTTAAACATTAAAAGAAATTCTGATAGTCAGAATCAATAAAAAGGCAGACATGATCTTTAGAAGGACGAATGTGTGTGTTTGCTTGGATGTAAGGAAGAAGGATTAACCACATAAAAATTACGTTGTTCCAAAGCTCTCTCTGAAACACTATTGTTAAAATCCAAATTAACTCTTTAAGGCTCCCCAGAACAGCAGTTTTATGGATTGCTGTTACACATCTTCTTGTCCCAATGGTAAAAGTACTGGAAATCATCTCCTTTTTTGCTGATGTGTCCTCATGACTCTTCCAGTGAGATTTTTAGTGAGACATAGCGGAAAGAACACTCTGTACGTGCTGGACAATGTTTTAATATACCTGCAGCTATTAATCCAGCGTAGCTGGGACCTGTCCAATGGGGCACGACCTTTTTAAAAGGGGAGAAAGAGAGTGTGGGCTGCTGCTTTACGCCAAATTCGGAGGTGGTTGGGAGACTGCTGCATTGGCTCTACTGTCTCCTGTAAGACCTGTCCAGGGAGAGGTGATGCTGCTGAGCTCGTTCCCTTGACACTACATGGAATTTTAGACAGATCTGACAGTGCTGCAGGGCTTTGCCACGAAGAAAAACCATTCACTACAGAGAAGGGAGTTCCAGTAAGGGTTCTTCAAACACAACGTTTTTCAGCTGTAGAAAGATTTGTTTATTTTCATACACACTTACGTGCATGCTCTCAAAACCTTTTTTCATTCTGCTTCCACTCTGTACAAGTTATTAACTGCTGACAAGAAATTCACATCTCATAAATAATGCTTAAGAGCCATTGCTATATAAATTGAATGTGTTATGAATTGTGATGGGCCTTTTTGTAGCATTCTGTGCCTGGAGCAGGAAGAACAGAGGATGTCATTTTCATTAATTTCTAATGAGGTGCCAATTAAAGGCAAGGAAGGAACTCAGAAGGGAAGAGTCACAGAGCTCCCCTGAATCCTGTACCCTGGGGCTGTCAAACGAGCGTGCTGCCAAGCCTCCGCTGAAAGTTCCAGTAAATTACAAACTCATCCAGAGCACACACAGACAAATTCGGCTTCCCTTTGATCTTCAAAAGAGCAATTTGTAAGACGAGTTCTGAGCCTTTTCACACGGCGAGCTGGGAGAAGTGATAGGAATTGTTAATTGCAGCTGCACTTTGCAAGCTTCAGTGAGAAAAGAGAAATTTTAAAATGAATTTTCATTTTGAGCCTCTCTGACTGGATAACCTTTAAATCAACACTACTCAAACAAACCCAGCTTCCTGTGAAACATTTCTAGGTGACAGTTACACTAGGCAGCGATGCTCTCTAGTTTTGGGTGGGCCTTTCAATAGTTTACTGCCCTATGATGGGTAACGGTTGTATTGAAATAATGTATTTATTTAATACCGGATTTAGTAGGCCGTTATATCATCAAGGAATTACAGGAATCGGATTTTTCAAGTTACGTTCTACTACAGCATTTGCGCTGGAAGTGTAAGCTGTCCAAAATCAATCGCCTGTGATTCTTGATCTGAAAATTAAGTTGTCAGTTCAGTGATGTGAGTTAAAGTAGCTATGTAAGACAGAGTTCTGGAAATGTATTTTAGAAAAAGAGAGGTTGATTATTTGCAAATTACACTATAAATTTATGGGCCTTGTCTTAATTACTTGACTGGATGTATATCGCTACTAAATAGTTGTGTGCATTTTTAAAAGATACTGAGCTGTAAACTTCTAAGCCATAGAAATCCTTTGCACAGAAAGCATAGCTTAATTTTATGGCAGAGGTTTAGTATTTTACAGCAAAAACTAGTTCTGCTATCGCTCGTTGTGTGAAGCCAACCCACAGAAAATGGCAGTGGTCCTTAATATCGTTGGGGTTGCGTAAGTCAGACGAGGGTGTTCTAGACGATCAGTAATTTCACATCTGTCATGTTAGAGCCAGTCCTAGTCAGCAATTAAAGAAAAATTAGTACAGTGTGCCAGCTCTTCAGCAGCTTTTGTGTAGAATGGTTTGCTCTTTGTAGGCCACATCTAATGGACGTGTCTGTAGCTCAGGCTCCACTTACCCAGAACTCTTGGCAATCAGTGGGGTGGCCAAGATAACGGGCCCTGGAAGGTAAGCCTGGCACTAGCTTCCAGTGCCCTAGGGACATGTTGCTGATTTGTTTGTGTGCTTCTCAGGTAGGAATCCCAAGGTTTTTTGTGTTCTTTGGCCAGAGTAGATGCTTAACAGGGTGCGAAGATGTTGAAACCTTCCAGTTTGGTCAGACTGTATTAAAAAATAACTGCTCGGTTATGGTGCAATCTGAGAGTTGTTAGCAGTATTTCTTACCTGCGTGGACAGAAAATATTTTCTTGGAGTTTTACTGGCCT